AGAGGGTGAGGAATAGATGGAAGACAAAGAAGACCCAGACTTCCATAGCTGGGTTCAATTCTAAAGATTAAGTCACTAACACCTACTCCAGAGCAATAGGTATAGGGATAAAGCAAAGCCAAAAGAAGATTTTAAAAGTTGAATGGGTAAAAGATAAACTAGTATTCATTTTAAAATATGATCTACATACTCTCAAGGCTAGAGTTAAACATACTGCCCCAAAATGTAACTGTGTTCATGATCATTGAAAGTTAAGTCTTGGAAAGAATCTGATTATAGTCTGTCCCATTACACACTATTTTTAAGCTAATTACCAGGCAGGGGTTAGGAAAAGAGATCAGTACTAGGCCTTACCATTCAACCACAGGGTCAAAAGGTGAAAGAAAATCCTAGGACTTGGCCTAAAAAACTGTCAGTAAAATATGGGGAGTTCTGGGTTCCCTGGCCTTATAAGCACACCCACTGAACCATTCCTTGGGTCAGATTTCAACCTGGGGCAGAAGCCCTGCCACTGCTAAATGTTCATTCTGAGCAGTCTAATTTGACTTCTTTCTGTTTGGGCTGCAGTCCAGCTGGCAGATGTTCTTGTAGAAGCCGATCTCAGACACTTTCCCTTTCTAACTTTTTGGCACTGTTGCTTCTGTTGCATTCGCCTACAAGGAAGACCAGTTAGTACAACTATTATTCAAATTTATGCATCAACCACTAATGCAAAGATGAAGAAATTGAAGATTTTTACCAGCTTCTGCAGTCTGAAATTTATCAAACATGCAACCAAGGTACACTGATGATTACTGATGATTGGAACGCGAAAGTTGGAAACAAAGAAGACAGATCAGTAGTTGGAAAATATGGCCTTGGTGATATAAACCATGCAGAAGACTGCAGGACAGAATTTGGAAGACCAATGACTTATGCATTGTAAATACCTTTTTTCAACAACATAAATGGTGACTATACACGTGGACCTCACCAGATGGAATACACAGGTATCAAATTAACCACATCTGTGGAAGGAGACGATGAAGAAGCTCAGTATCATCAGTCAGAACAAGGCCAGGGGCTGACTGCGGAACAGACCGTCAATGCTCATGCGCAAGTTCAAGCTGAAGCTGAAGAAAATCAAAACAATCCACGAGAGCCAAAGTACGAACTTGAGTATATTCCACCTGAATTTAGAGGCCATCTCAAGAACAGATTTGACGCATTGAACGCTAATGACCAAAGACCAGATGAGTTGTGGGATAACATCAAGGACATCATACATGAAGAAAGCAAAAAGCCATTAAAGACAGAAGAGAAAAAGAAAAAAAAAGGCAAATGGATGTCAGAAGAGACTCTGAAACTTGCTCTTGAACATAGAGTAGCTAAAGCAAAAGGAAGAAATGTTGAAGTAAAAGAGTGCAACAGATTTCAAAGGGTGGCTAGAAAGACAAACTAAAGTATTATGATGAAATGTGCAAAGACCTGGAGTTAGAAAACCAAAAGGGAAGAACACTTTCAGCATTTCTCAACTTGAAAGAACCGGAGAAAAAATTCAAACCTCGAGTTGCTCATATTGAAGGATTCTATGGACAAAAAACTGAACAACCAGGTAGCATCAAAATACAAGGAACACAAAGTCACTGTACCAAATATTCAACCATTTCAGGAGGTAGCATATGATCAAGAATAGACAGTATTGAAAGAAGAAGTCCAAGCTGCACTGAAGGCATTGGTGAAAAGCAAGCCTCCAGAATACTAACAGATATTTCAACAAACAGATGTAATGCTGGAAGCGCTCACTCGACTATGCCAAGAAAACTGGAAGATAGCTACCTGGCCAACCGACTGGAAGAGATACATATCCACGCCCATTCCAAAGAAAGCTGATCCCATGGAATGCGGAAATTATCAAACACCGTCATTAATATCACAAACAAGTAAAATTTTGCTGAAGATAATTCAAAAACTGTTGCAGCAGTACATCAACAGGGAACTGTCAGAAATTCGAGCGGGATTCAGAAGAGGATGTGGAACAAGGGATGTCACTGCTGATGTCAGATGGATCTCGGTTGAAAGCAGAGAATACCAGAATGATGTTTACCTGTGTTTTATTGATTATGCCAAGGCATTCAACTGTGTGGATCATAACAAATTATGGATAAATTATGAAGAATAGGAATTCCGGAACACTTAGTTGTGCTCATGCGGAACCTGTACATAGACCAAGAGGCAGCTGTTTGAACAGAACAAGGGGATACTGAGTGGTTTAAAATCAGGAAAGGTGTGTCAGGGTTGTATTCTTTCAGCACATTTATCCAGTCTGTATACTGAGCAAATAATCCAAGAAGTTGGACTATATGAAGAACTCAGCATCAGGATTGGAGGAAGACTCATTAACAACCTTCGATATGCAGATGATGCAATCTTGCAAGCTGAAAGTAAAAAGGACTTGAAGCACTTACTGATGAAGATCAAAGACTACAGCCTTCAGTATGGATTACACCTCGAAATATAGAAAACAAAAATCCTCACAACTGGACCAATAAGGAACATTATGATAAATGGAGGAAATATTGTAGTTGTCAATGATTTCATTTTACTTGGATCTACAATCAATGCCCATGGAAGCAGCAGTCAAGAAATCAGACGACATATTGCATGCGGCATATCCACTGCAAAAGACCTCTTTAAAATGTTAAAAAGCAAAGAAATCACTTTGAGGACTAAGGTGCGGCTGAGGCAAACCATGGTTTTTTCAATCGCCTTACATGCATGCAAAAGCCAGACAATGAATAAGATCAAAGAAGAATCAAAGCATTTGAATTATGGTGTTGGTGAAAAATATTGAATATACCACGGACTGCCAGAAGAACGAATAAATCTGTCTTGGAAGTAGTACAGCCGGAACGCTTCTTAGAAGGGAGCTTTTGTCTCCCATGCTTTTGGACATGTTAGCAGCAGGCACCAATCAGTCCCTGGAAAAGGACATCACTCTTGGTAGAGGGTCAGCAAAAAAAAGAGGAAGACCCTTAATGAGATGGACTGACACAGTGGCTGCAACAATGAACTCAAACATAGCATAGGACTGTGAGGATGGCACAGGACTGGGCAATGTTTCTTCTGTTGTACATAGGGTTACTGAGTCGGAAGCAACTCGACAGCACCTAATAAGTTTTGTTGCATGGGTATCATCTCTGAAATTTTATCTTGGATTCTCCAGGTTTTGTAACTTTGGTTTTCTCTTATCTCTATCTGCCCCAAAGGGCTTCATATGAAAACTACAGTAGGTCCCAGGGACTAGCTGTCCCCTGGGACAATTAGTACTTGCCCTTTAATGCTATGTAATTTGCTCTCACTCTGAAAGGACTGTACCAACTCCTACTTCCAACAAATTCTTCATCACAACTGCCTTCGCTTGCTTCGAGCCTTTTCTTGCACTAAAGTAAGGCACATACCTGTGCCGACTTACCTACAAATTCGACTTAAAGGCAGACTGAGGAACAGATCTCGTTCGTGACCCAGGGACTGCCTGTACTAAATCACTGGTAATTCCTTTGGTGCAAATATGACTTATCAAATGACTTGCTTGAAAATTTCCAACCATTCCTTTGCCTTTGCCCTACTCCCCTCCAAAATGAATAACTTCAGAAGCAAAAATGCAAACACAAGGTAATCATTGTGAATGCTGTACAAACGTACCATTTTCTCTTCCAGGTTGGACTTTGTAGAACGAAATGTCAGGGCTCTGATATTTATTATCTAAAATAGGTTTAACATTTGGAGAAATGTGTTGAAAACACATAACCTTGGAAAGAAAAGCAAATTGATCGGACAGATGATGGGGGTGGGCAGAGAACTTAATGGATGCGATTTTGCTGTGTTGGGTAAAGTTAGAAAACTGGATCTTTCTGAGCATAAAGAGCTCCCAGATGAGGTAAAAGTAAAATGCAAATTGATTTCCACCTCGTGTTGAGGGCCACTGGAAATCAACTTTAAATATACATGACCACAATATCAATAATGAAGAAATCTTACGTTTTATTTAATAGTTTGGCCAGACCAGGCCCTTCGAAGGGATCACTAGTTCAGGAAAGAGGAACAACAAAACCATCATTCACTTTCCTGCAGACTCATCATTTTCCTAATTATTTCTATTGGCCCTGCTTTACTCTTTCTGCAAATTAAAGGGGGGGGGGGGGCGGGTATCTCTATTAGATCAGCAATGACTGGTTTCTTATCCAAATATTCCACCTAATGACAACGTGAGTTCTCGGGGATTGGACAACCACTCTGCAACATTCCTGAGAATTGAATAATAAAATAATCTTGAAAGTCAGCAGAGTGGATTATCCACTTTTTTTTTTTTCTGGACTTGAACTTGTGACCTTAACAGTAGCACTGCAAAAAAGCAAACGTGCTAAGCACTTTGCCCGAGTAACCTTCCATGTAGACTTTTCATCTTAAATACACACAACCGAAAACAACTACAGTTTTTGGAAAATTATGTACAAACCCAATACTTCTTTTGATTACATATAAATACAAATTAGCTATTTTTTTTTCCTAAAAAGTGGTTATAATAGTAAATAAATACAAAATAAATCTGACCATTATACTTCATGTGCTGGGGTTGAACCCATATAAAATGTACAACTAAATACATTTTAAATCTTTAAGGAATAATTCTCTGATTAAAATATTTATTTTCCCAACTTCTTTTTGTAGATATAAATATATTTTCAAAATAGCTGTGTTTTTTTTTTCCATTCCATTCCATAAATAAAGTCTTCATTGGGAAATATTAAAGTGTCAACTTGTTTTTTACATGGTGAAAATACACATAGCCAAAGATACGCCATTTCAAAAATGTTTTTTACATACACATTTAAGTGACATTGACTACG